CAGCATGACACCAGTGTTCAACACCGATGCTTCGCTGCCGCACAACCATGACTTATTTGAAAGCCTTATTGTAAGGAAAAGAGTAAAGTTGGACGGGGAAGGGACTTAGTTCTAGCATAACACAACCATTCCGAGGTGCCTACACCTCCAGACATTCACTCAGGCGATCTGAATAGAAACTGACAACCAAAACGCCACTGACATCGATTGGCAGCCATATCTTGTAGCGTCTACAAGCAGGCACAAACGAACGAGCTCATTGAGTGACACCCTCTTCACCTAGGCTCGACACACTCACAGAGCAATTTGAACTTTTCCAATCTGGCAAACGAAGAATGTTTTATCGTGTACTCTACTGAAAACATTAGCACCGTCAGTGAAACATGTTTTAACAGAAATTTACCGTTTGTGAAGTTTGCCAGTTGGGGATTGACCACGTAGTTTTGTGAATAAATGGCAGTTGTGACACTTGTATCACTAGAATTCATTCAACTAACAGCACAAGCGAGCGAATGAATCAGACTTTCTTGAGTCACATGTCTTTTCAAGAAGCATATTCGGGGATTGATTTCTTCATGTTAGCGATAACTTTGCCGGATTTTCTCTCCTTTTTTACTACCTAGTATTATTTGGCCGACGACACGTTAGAAGTAGTGGAGGTCCATGAGGTCAATGATGGACGTGATCCGTTCCCCCTGTTGCTTCGGAGATCACGCGTTCCAAAAGACCGTGATGACGTTCCACCGACGTTCCCCAGTGTGTCGATGGAACTGACAGGTAAGTGAGGGACGCTCTCACTTGTATGTACGTATATGTACGATGTCATGACGAGAGGGGCTGGTCACCTTTCTTGCTTCGGTCAGAACCGCCTCAATTGGAGAGGCCTTGACTTCTATCCATGCTACTATAAATTATGTAGTAGTATGGATAGAATTCAAAGCCTCTCCAATTGAAGCGGTTTTGACCGAAGCAAGAAGGGTGACCATCCCCCTCTCGTCATGATATGGTACATATTTTCCTTATTTTGTTGGTGTTTGAACTCAGCTTTGAAATAAATACACACAAACAAGTGAGCAGAAATCATCAAAACCGTCTGTTCTGTGAATTGTCTGATTACTTATTTTGGACACGCAAGCAGTTATGCGCAAAAAACAAACAAACATTTTCGCACATGCTGTGGGTGTTGTGAACTGGGATCTCGAAACACTGTCCCAGATGCAATTAGAGCCAAAAATGTGACGTTGCACTTAAGTCATTTCTGAAATGATACAATGAGACAAAGATCGTCAAAGAGCGATGAAGTTATGTCCGTCAGAAATGGCGAAACTCCCTTCTCGGGTCCAGCCGATCCCGAGTAGGCTATTGACCTTTGAGGGCTTGTGTGATCTGCTGGTTGAGCTTGCAGTCCCATGAAAATTATTTCCAGAATACTCGGTCAGCTTTTGTTTAGTGAAAATGTGTGGTACCCATTGCGAGTGATCATGTCCATTTTAACACGTCACAGTAATGAGTGCCCGTTCGCCATTCAGGTGGTTGATAATCCAAGCGCTCCCAACGAATAAAAAAACCTTTATCCGAAAATTCTACTGACAGTGAAGAGGTAATGATAATCGTTTGGGTGTAACACCCTTTCGGTGCCAAACTGCCATGTCACCCGAAGGAAGCACGAGGGCTGGGATACTGCTAGATTGCCCAAACCTAGACGGAGGAAGTTGAAAGTCAGAGGTTGGGTTCGAACCATGGACCTTCTGGTCAGTAAATTCGCGCTCTAACCACTGAGCCATCTCGCCCCTTCCACACATCAGTGCAGCTGCTTGGCATCACCACACCTAACTGAGATTGGAGTCAGTACATAAAAGGTAGGGTTTTTAGAAGGACAAATGGAAGTCTCTGTGAACTTCTAATACCTTGCCAGTCTTCACCTTTAAGTAGAATTGCTGTCCGGGAGCGTCTTACGTGGAAGGAAGCAGTGTTACGTAGGTTTAACCTTCAACCGGACATATACATGTTAGTCTGAGGGTACCAGAAGCCAGAATGTTGTCTATACTGCCTCGAAAAATAACTCAATGCCCAAAGCAACTCCTCCGGGATGTAACTGCCTTGAGCTCTCTTAACTGCTTGAGCCAAAAGAAGTCACAAGACCAATTATCTTGTTACCACAAACTAGGGTTAATTGGTTGTCACCAGGCTGTCATATATTATTTGGGCAATTGGATATTGCAGATGTCAGCAAACAGTGCAGTACCGTATCATCCGATAATACCAGCTACTGAAAATTACGTAGTAGTTAGTAGACCGCATGGATTTCTAAGGAGATAATGTTCGCCTCTTATCGGGTGACCAAGAGACCGCAATCTACAGCCACAAGTGACTTACCACATTCACCAGCTACTTCGTTGAAGATGAATGCTTGCACCTGACAAGGGTTAAGAAATTAAACTGGACTGACGTAGGTATCACACTTATTTCTAGGACATCCACAAATTCAATTGCTAGATGCCACATCAAACAAGTCCTTGATTTGCAAATGAGTGCATTTCTCGTAAACAGTCCAAGTTGGGGAATGCGCCTACCTGACCAGCCTCAAGAAGGGCGAAACCCGTCGTGGGCTGTCGAAGAGTTCCCAGCAACTTTGTGAGTAGTTTCCTCCATGAAAAGAGTACTTGAGTAGTTGTTCTGAATTTTCTCCTTAACATTCCTATCCATCCTTCACATATATCCTCATGTTTAGTATTGTTCACTATTGTTATCTATTCTATTCTCCAAGAAAACGAGATCAAAGAATATTTCTCGCCCAAAGACTTTCGTATCGGTCACACAGTAAACATTTTGGGGAGAAAATTCTTCATCTATGATTGTGACAGTTTCACCAAAGCATGGTACTATCAGAATTTCGGACTGACCGATTTCACCCCCGTGGACGTGGAAATCAAAAGGCCGCCACCACCCAGAAAGGTAATAAATTTACTTTCATTGCATGGTATTTGCTCGCGGGTTGACCAGAGCGGAATCTCAGTGTGTACTTTGGATCGCCCCTTGAATGTTTCTGCAATCAGTATTATCGTTCATCATCCTGATTGTCAGCTGTGATAACAGCGCACTCGTCGTACAGTGGTTGTAGCTGCCGCAGTTTCGTTCACCGATGATTTAGGGGGGTGGGTAGCTGCGCATTGCATGCGGGAGCTAAAAAATTGGTGCATAAATCCAGCACTGTCAGTGGGCTTTCAAGTGGGGAGAGGGGTTGGAAGAGGAGCTATGCATTGAAGGCAATAGCTTTGATGCACGAGCGCCATTGAGGGCGCGACTGGTCCATGTCTGATAATGTCTCTAGCCATTGATGTGGCCCGTCTAGGGGTCTCCATCCAGAAAGACGGTAGCCTAATCAGGTTTCACACAAAAAAGAAAAATAGTAGAAAGCAACTGTTTTTCTTCGTAATGTTAAAGAATTGGAGCTCACTAAAGCATCGATCGCTTAGTCAGCCATACCCGTGGGCGCCGTATTACTTTTAAAAGGAATCTGTTACTGCTCTAGTTGTAAATTAATTAATTTAAGAATCAGGTGTCAAGCACTAACAAATATCTGTTTTAATAGGAATGATGATGATTACCACCACAATTCAGTTCACCTCTAAATACACTGTGACAAGTGGAATAAGTCAAATGGTGACTTATCGTTTGAGGACGACTGGTGTGAGTTACTGACTGAATGTCCGGACACGGGACGTGTTTTCTCAGCAGTGAACTTGTGGAGCGGCCCTATGTGTGTGTGTTGAGTGGAGTTGCATGCCTATTTGTCGCGTGTAATGTGAAGCGTGGGCTGTCTATCCTTGTCTGACAGCTGCAAAAACTTGAAGACAACTTGATCTGATATGGTTGTAGGTCGCGAGCATGGCTTGTGATGCAGATGGTAAATAGGTGAATAAAATGGATGGGAAATTCGAGTATACATGCTGTCGGTCAAGGTTGCACGTTGGTACAGGTAGAGCCACGAAGCGGCTTCACTCATGGTCTAAACAGTGTGTAGAAGCACATGGGACGTTAACTTATTCGATTTGTTCTGCATTTGGGTTTTCAGAAAGACTGCCGGTCAGAATTGGTGGCTCAGATCACACCACAGGATCTGCTACTTTAATCATGTCGTACTGTAGAAAGATCGTATATCCACATCCTTGTCCGCCTATCCTGCTCTCCGTTATAAGGCTTTATTCAAATAAACGACATGCTTCGGCTCAGATCACACCACAGGATCTGCTACTTTAATCATGTCGTACTGTAGAAAGATCGTATATCCACATCCTTGTCCGCCTATCCTGCTCTCCGTTATAAGGCTTTATTCAAATAAACTGACATGCTTCTGGGGCAGTGGAGTACCGCTGTTTTCAATGCTGACGCGGACTGCCCATTTTGCTCAGCGTTTCTTTCACGAAAATAAACTACTCGTGGCTTTGTCAGTAGTCAGAACACTAAATTTTGTATTTTTGGAACTATCCTGTGGGGCGATTGCATCTCGGGTTGAAAGATCCTAGAGGCCCCTCAAAACTGTTTATGCTTCTTCAAGTCAGGAGAATGATCAACACTGCAGTTAGTCCGCATTAGAGTACAATCCAGTACTGTTCATTTTCGGATGCGTATGCCTCACTGCGGTGATGCTCTGGTAAGTCATGTTGTCAGCATTCATACCCGGGACCGCAAAGCATCTCGCGTTCAACCAATACGCACGAGATACATCCACTTCTTTAGGACTTTAAACGAAATGTGTGTGACCACTGGGCCAATCACACTGTAGTTGAATGTTACTCAGAAATATCAGTTTCGGTTTATGGGACCTAACCAGCGATTCTTTCAACAGTGGTCCTGCTCGAAATGCTTATTTGTTCGGCAAGATGGATGGTTGCTGAGGAATTTCTGTAACGAACAACGGGAACAACCACCAAATCCGTTGTGGTAATCAGATGTTTCATCCTCAGCGTGTATTTCAGTGGGTTGGTTAGCCAAGCTAGGCAGTCAAACAGCGTAACTGTGAATAACCTTCATGAGGGAAACTACTCACAAGGTTGCTGAAAACTCTCTGACAGCCCACGGCCGGTTTCGCCCTTCTTGGGGTTCATCAGGTAGGCGCAGTCCCCGAGTTTCCGTCAATCTTATGTTCTACTTGAACCCCGTTTGTGATTATTGTGCACGCTGTTCAAGCTAGTTTCGCTGAAGTGGCAGGAGATTAGACAGTGCAAAACAGTTTGGCCCTCAACTTGGTGAGTTAAAGATACAAACAGTCAGTCATTTGTTACAGGAGAACATCAGGTATATGCTGAGATACGCAAGTAACTATAGGGCTGATGCCCGTTTCGGAACTAGTCTTTCGCACATGGTCAATACAGTCTGCGCGTACGGGGTAGTTTTGTATGCCAGCATAAGTGCATTTTGACCCGTTCAAACCGGAAGGGAAAAGACCAGGGGCAATCGAAGAAGGTGGACATATGTTGCAGGTATGTGGTGACTGCCAAATAAAGTTGAAAAGAATAGAAGCTTGGAGTGCATAGTTATTGCACCTAATGGGGTTCTGGTCAGACCATTCGCCAACCACACCAGGGACGGACTTATGCGGATAGTTAGGACAAACTACGGTAGTGGCAGGATGCCACCTCCAGCACCATCACAGGTGAAGCAAATCAACACTTCACTATCAGGTGGGCGCGGTGCCATATGGTGGTCCATGAGGCTATTAAAGCCACTGGAAAACTAAAGCAATAAAGAGCTCAAAATCAGTCTTCAATGTTTGCCGGTACGACATATGAGAGTCCTTCAAAAACGCCAGGTCTCTAAGAGAACTCGCGGGGGGTTAGGGAAAAATTTCTACGGAATATTCTAGACCGGGGTTAGGCCAATCATAATTCAGTCACACTTAATGACCTGCAACTGGCTGAGGTATCGCACTCGAATGCCCAGCCAACCAAGTGGGCCAATAAGGGCCGAAAACATAACTTCCCTAACACTAGCTATTGACCTCTATGGTGACCGCGTTTGCCCGAATACTGGAAACGTACTTCCAGAGCAAATGTCCCCGCAGAAGAGACCACTCCACAGCGGAGAATACTTACCGCCAGTCACCTGATGTCTTCTCTCTAGGGCAAAAACTACACCCCTGTGTCACTTTCATCAGCAGCATCGCAGCGGTGGGCGGTCGCATTAATCCGCGACAAAAAGGGGGAACAAACAAACGAAAATTTGAATGTATGACATCCGCACACGCACCCAATAAGAGTGGGCTTGCTAGCCGTATAGACGTAACATACTACTCGTATGGGTTTTGAAAACTCTTCCAAAGCCCACGACATGTTTCGACCTTCCTGGGGCTTATCAGGTAATTAACTGAGTGAATTTTCCCCCATTTCGTGCAATTTGGGTTCAATTAAAACACAGGGTCGAGGGAAACCTGGGGACCGCGCCTACCTGATAAGCCCCGGGGAGGATGAAACTGGTCCCGGGCTGTCGAAGAGTTTTCAGCAACCTCATGAGTAGCATGTTACGTCTAGACAATAACATACTGCAATATCTCGAACTTCCTACCGGCTGAAACATGGGACAGTCTGGTGCAACACATTCAGTTGGAGAAAAACATTATAAAGGAGACATTCGGTACAGTTTCCAGTGAAAATCGAACTGATACGCAAATGAGTGTATGTGCAGTCAAGAGTCTAGTTCATTCGGCGAATGCTTTCTTGAGGTCCAAGGTCATTGGCAGAGTTCCAACTAAACAGCCAGAGCCGTAAGTACGACTATCAGGCTAAGAATCGCTCTCCTCTGCGTCCATAGTACGTATGTGCGCACATTACACGTGGCATGGCCCAAGGCGAACAGTCCTGTACGTAAAAACTGATAGCCCAAAACACTCTTAACTTGTGCTTGTGGTGACAGAACATAGGGTTACCGTAATCCATTCGTTCGTCAATACTGAGGATAGCCTAACTTCAGCTGGAGTCGTTTATTAACTGTAGGTATATCAAACTTCCCCATTCATCATCATCATCATGTCAGCCGTAAAGAACCGCGTACTCGTCGTACACTGGTTGTAGCTGCCACAGTTTCGTTCACCGATGATTTGGGGGAGGGGGTAGGTAGCTGCGCATTGCACGAGCGAGCTGGTAACTTGGTGAATAAACCTGGCACTGTCAGTGGGTTGTCAAGCGGGGTGGGGGGTGGAAAAGGAGCTATGCATTGAAGGCAATAGCTTTGATGCATGAGCGCCATTGAGGGCGCGACTGGGCCATGTCTGATAATGTCCCTAGCCATTGATGTGGCCCGTCTCGGGGTCTCCATCCGGGAAGATGGCACTGACCAGCGCAGCTGAGTTTGCTGGTAATGGCGTCCAAGTCTCTGTTTACCATCTGCGTCGATAGTATGCAAGAACCAACTTACAGCTAATGATATGCCCGACTGATTGACCCTCTTTTTCTTCAGGAAATACCGCCTTACAATGGATTTGGCAGTCTGGAAGATAGCCTTTCCTCGACAAAGTCGTTTGTTCCCCGTCCTCCAAAAACCGACTTTGCCAAAAACGTTGATTATGCCAACAAAATACTTCGCTATGAGGCTCGACTGGTGAGTTCCGAATTGGTTAACCGGTCTCATATTCGACTGTGCATCAAGCTTTGTTCACGTTTCTCATTGGTAGACGTTCCGCGCCCTTACTAAACCATGACCTCACCTTCACGTGTTACAGGACAGCAGTCGTCCAGAAGATGCCTGTCGACGTTTCATATTCAAGTACCGTCTTTGTGACGACATGATCTCAATCTATGAGACCCCATTGCGGAACTCTGGATTCCCTGGTGGAACTTTCCTCAGAGGAGCGAGGTAAGTGTAGTCTGGGGGTGGACTGGTTGCAGTATTTTCTGGAGTCTTCCTGGATGGGCACTTCGAGACGGGCCACATCAATGGTTCAAGATACTGTCAGACATGATTAAGTAGCTCACTCGATGGCGCTTGTGTATCCAAACTATTGCTTTCATTGCATAGCTCCTTTCCCAGTTCCCCCGCTTAACAATTCCCTGACAATACTGTATTTACGCATCAATTTAGCAGCTCCCACTTCCCCAAACCGTCGGGGAACGAAACCGTGGCAACCTTGACCACGACGAAATCCGCCCTTCTTGATAGACGTGTGTATCAAGCTACGGTACGGGCTGCTTTTTTGTTGGCTGCGTTGGTTGGGACATGTGTTGCGTATGCCGAAACACCGTTGGCCGAAGAAAGTGCTGTTTTCCACGCCTAATTCAGAGTGGCGTAAACAGAGAGGTAGCCAACCCTTGACTTGGCAGAGGAGTATGAAAGAGATCACGAAACGCTTGGGTGCTGTCGGTGCTACTCGCCTTCCAGGATGGGGATCACGTGATCCTCACTGTGCCTGGTTGGAGACACTATAAGATATAGCTGCCAACCGATGTCAGTGGCGTTCTTGTTGTCAGTTTCTATCCAGATCGCCTGAGTGAATGTCTGGAGGTGTAGGCACCTCGGAATGATTGTGGTAAGCTAGCACTGAGTCCTTCCCTGTCCACCTTTACTCTTTTCTTCATAATAAGGCTTTCTAATAAATCATGATTGTACGGCGGTGAAGCATCATTGTTGACCACTGATGCCATGCTGTCGATGATGATGATGATGATGATGATGAACATGGTCTCCAAGTTCCCGTTCATCTTATGTTCTATTTATATGAAAATCGCCAAATAATCTCATTTGCACAAGAGCTTCATTCATTAAGGATAGGAAGAGTGAGGGACTGAGGACTACCCACTGAAGGTTATTGTTCTGATGAATAACCGCCATCAGCTGCGTGACCCAGTCATACCTATCAAAGTCACTAATCTGCTTTGTTCCATGGACCCTATTCAAGGAGATGACTGAGTTGACTAGGAGGTTTTGATGTGCTCATCACCTGATTTGTGGCGGTACAGGGAAGTTCGTTGTTTAACTCAGATGACTTCCACCTCTAGCCTCATTGTATATCAAGGTAAATCAGTTGGGAAGTCGCGAGCAATGTTTCGTAAGGTTGAAAATTTCTCGAGGGCCTGAAAGCCACCGCTCTCCTTTATGGGAGTGCAGACAGCGCGATGGATGAACACGTGTTTTTTCTCTTCTAGTTGGCTACACGAGCGACCGATTGCCTATTGTCCAATGCACTGACAGAGTGATCTAGTACAACTCACACTTGACCTAGAAATGGGATGCCTGCCTGCAAGACTGTAATGTAATATAGTGTAATATAGTAGAGTATATAGTGGCATAGTACAGTATAGTATAGTGTAGTATAGTGTAGTATAATATAGTATAGTGAAGTGCAATATAGCGTAATATAGTATAATATAGTATACCAAGGCATAGTACGGTACAGTGTAGTGCAGTATACAGCATATAGTATAACATAGTATAGGGGAGGATATCAAGGTATAGTAGAGTACTATATAGTATAGTACATACAGCAGTATATCGGTGAAAAGAAGGTCTTTGCTGAGGAGTTATTTATTAGAAAATGCCAACGGAACAGTTACATTGGACAGGGCAGGGAAGCAAAACTCTCATATACATCTTGTTTGCAAAAACTGAATACCCATCTTCTCTTTGGACGCGTCTTTCTGAACTTTCCTGGATATTCATTGACTGTTGCTCAAATCCAAGCAAATGCTACAAAGTGACTCCACAAATTCCGTAATAGATCTCACTTTTCAAAAGACAAAGCGGATTTGCGAGAAGACATACTACTAGCATGCCCTCCCATCAGTAGTATCACCGTTACATTGGTAGAGTGTGATCAGTCGATCAGACAATCGAGTGCGAAAGCAAAACTGTGCTAAATTAACAATAATTTCGTCTATTTTTTGACGGCATACTTTTCCTCACTTCTTGTTGCCTGACTTTCTGGGAGGAAGCTCAGCGTATTTTACTGCTAGAGGCTAAATCCACTCCACCAAACAAAAGGATCACCTGTGGAGCCTTCCAAAGCTGTGTACATTGCCCAGGTGCATTTGGCTACATTTGTACTTCAGGGAGCAAAATTTGGTCTGAAGACAGTGAGGGATGTCCTACACTACGCATAGTCCAACAATTTGCAGTACTTTTTCACTAATACTTTAAAAGGTCAGCTTTTGTCGCAACTCAAACGTCCAACGTGGTTTGGAAATTTGGCAAGTTGCCTGAAGCTAGTTGTAAGTGGTAGTTTCTGGATTTGTGTCGTTCCTGTTCACATCACTGTCCTTTGAACATCCCCTCTTCTGGCCTGGCTCAATTATTCTCGTGAGTCCGAACTAAAGACTTGGGATTCGCTCGTCACTGGTGCTTCACGTTGTCGTACCGGACATCCTGACATACAAATCGAGCGTGTTATTACCAGCGCACTCTGGTTCCAAGTCACAAGCAGTGAGACTTTCCACTCACTGTCCCTTGCTCTTGTTCGCTCAGGGGTCTAAAAAAAGTTTAGGTTTGTCTTTTTTAAATTATCCCATTTAATAGTGGCGTTTTGTTGTATTGTGTCGGGACCACACCCCACTCAACCGACAGATCCAGAAAGTTACACTTAATTAATGGTAAGGTAGCCACCTCCCACCTGGAACAATCAACACGAAACGGGAGGGAACCAGCGAAACAAAATGCAAACATGCTACTACGGTTACTTGGTAGTGATTTTGAGGAAGGGATGAGTAAAACTCCCATCTGAACGGTCCTCACTCGAGGAGCCAGTCAGTGTGTGATCAAGTGATGTGATTTCCGTGATCGAGGGATGGGCAGTGCTATATCCTGTGTAAGTGTGAGTTAGTCACACCGCTGACCAGTAATTCGTGGCCGAACAATTAAGCGTCTAATCTGCTAGCCAGGAGGTCGCGGGTTCGAGATTCTCTGGAGTTTCTCGAGATGTCCACTGCTGACGATTCCCAGGAAGGAGAGAACAGCTGTACAATGCTCCTCGGATTTCTAGCATAGATTCGCCTCACTTACAGGTTCCCACACCTCCACATACCGTCAGCAATCTATAAGTAGCTCGATGGAAGAATAAACTTTACCCGATGTGTGAAACTTCCGTAGGAGAAGTCGTTGCTCGATGAACCAGTCAATACGTTTGACCACGTGATGTGGACTTCGTGATTGAAGGATGAGCTATATCCTATATCCTGTGTAAGTGCGCGGTAATCACACTGCTGATCAACCGCTTCTGGTAGAACGGTTAGGTGTTCAAACTAGTAACTAGGAGGTCGCGGGTTCGAAACGCCGTACAACAGCTTCTTGAAATACGCATTTCTGATGATTAACAGTAGGAATGAAACAGCTGCACAGTGCTCCTTGACCTTCCTCCATAGATTGGCTTTAATGAAGGGATGACGTCTCTATTGAAAATTCTTCTAGCTGATGAGAAAATTGCAGCTCTCCTCAGGTGCCTATAACGCGTTTCCATCTATCAGATCACTGTCTTCAAGGATGTGTGAGCCGTTAACTTTGTTCATCCATCTGTTCATCTATCAAGAACACGTGTCTGGCAGGCTTAGGCTAGGTACGACTTAGACACGTGACTTTAGTTGGTAAAATGTGCACTACTTATCTAGGTACGGTAGCACTCCCGTTGATCATCCAAGCAGCATTAAACACATTGCTCAGTCACGCATCTCTTGAGGAAAACATCATAGCTCTTCCAGAGTGTAGCACAAATCATACTAGCGGTCAGTCACTTCGTACTGACCCATAAGAAACAACCAGCTCCATTCACTGGAAATCACGTCACAATCCGGCAGGTTATGACCACTTGTTGTTTGTAGAATAATTTTGAATAGGTATTGTCCATTTGGAGACGACTGCAGTGGAACATAGATAAACAGTTGCTTGCCCCATTGGTAGGGGTATCATATGTTACTATGCTTCTACCTCAGAGTTGCCAAGCCAGGTAGCAGTGTGGACATGCCTGTCTATTATGGTCCAGCGGACTTTTCACTTGGTTCGAAAATCGAGGTGTTTGGAAGTCGATTCATCATTACCGATGCGGATTCGTTTGTGATTAAATTCTTGGAGGCTAACAGAGACCAATTCTCCGACGAACTCATTCAATGCTGGCGTGCCCGTATGACAGAGAAGGAAGAACAGGAGCGGGCTATTCAAGTGGCCAAACAGAGGCAACGGAAAGGTGGACCGGTGGAAATCAGGCGACAGTAAGTGCTGGTCGTCAGTTGTTCTTGCTTCTTTACATTCTTCATCGACAATGACAGTAGTTTGTGTGAGTATTCCAGTTGATGATCCACACTGCCCGCCAGAAATATGCGTCGAACATGCGCTCACTTGAATGCTACTCGACACTATTTCCGGCGGTTGATCGTACACAATACCTATTTCGACCTTTTAATGTAAACCAGTTCGTCCTCACCGTCCACAAAGCGCTCTTATTACACCAGACTACTTTGCACTGGGGGGACTGCGTTCGAAAGTTAACTGTGCTGTACACTCAAGAGTGTGACCCATAGAATATGATCAATTGATCCTATTCTGTCGCAGATCCAGCTACGAATTCCCTCTTTAAAATGTGTTAACAGGTCGGATGATGAGGAACTTGACGGTAGTCTTTTTTTAATGATCTCCTGTAGCAAACGAAGCGCTAAGATAGGTGTGCGCACGAATGAGTACATGTCGACTGGAAAGATACGACTAGAACAGCCCTTCAGTGCAGAAGTCTCCTGAGGTAATATGATCAGGAATCGTCTCAACTAACTATACGAACGTACGAGGAACCCCCATGTGAGTGGTACTCAGATATGGGCCTTTCGTCAGGGTGCTCTTGGTTTTCTCCGTGTGTTGTTCGGTGAGTTACGTGACTACTGACTAACGGGTTGGTTGATCACTGTTTCTGTGATGTGATAACCATGGTGAGCTTAGTTGAAAACACATTCCTCTTGATCGACGAATATTCTCAGTTCGGATTGTTTCTGAGCAGAATTCAGCAAAGAGGAAACGGCAGCTAGAGGGATACGGTTATTCCCCATAGGCAAGAAGCTCCAATTGATTGGTCATCAGAATCGCAAAATGAGGGAAAGTTGAGCACTCTGTGGTAGGACCCGTTTGTCGTTACTGGCCCCCAAGACAACGTTTATATAATTCAGGACGGTGGATGGTCGGGAGGCAGCTTCGAACGTTGCACGATATACCCTAGGGCACACTGAATAGAACAGCTACCGAATTGGATCTAACTGAGGTGATTGGTTCATAGGTAGCATTCATGTAAACATTTGAAGGGGAGGTATGTAATGGTACATACTACTGAAAGAACATGACCAAGTTTCAAACCGCCATCTGCGCACCAGATGGAATGTTGATATGGAAACAATGGGAGAGCTTTGCAGTGTCCAAAAGGATGCTTAGTTCGTTTTGGTCAATAACAACTCCGCACTCGAGGGTGCTCTTCCCCGAATCGGTAACACGCCTACCTGGTGTGTCAACTGTCTGGATTTCCGAGCAGCACGGCCAAAAATATTCACTGCTGTTTAGCTGAGCGAAACTCGAATCAGGTGCATATCTCCTCACTGTGGTACCACACATCTGTGCTAATCGCCTTCCGGGCCGGGGTTTGCTTGATCCCCTGGGTACATGGTTGGAGATAATATAAGATATAACTACTAATCAATGTCGGTGTATTCTTTTCATCAGTTTGTATACAGTGTCCGAATGATTCCCCGTAGGTGTGAACATCTCAATGGGACAACATTTGTCCTAATTTATTTAACGTATTACTCTGTTTCAGTGATGGGGACGTACTGGGACTGGCGAATGAAATCAAGACGCAACTGAAGAAGTTGGCTATCACGGACAGAAGCAGAATAGACGAGATGTTCCTCTACTACAACAAAGATCGTCTAGGCTTTATTGACATTGAAAATTTAAAGGACATTTGCAAAAAACTCCAGCTGCCTCCGGACGAAGATGTATTGGATGCGGTAAGATAAGACTAAAACACCAGCTGTCATTGGGACGATTAGGCGTCGTTCTTGATGTCTTGTTGACTAGAAGCGACACGTAGTTCCAGGAAGAATACACAGAGTTTATTATTGACTTTATAAGTTGAGAAACAGGGAGGTTAGTTGTCAGGACAGCTGTGATATTTCATTCTGAGGCATACCTCAGTTGGTAAGAACTGAATACAAAATAGTGATAAAACTGCGCTCCCCTTGAATTTGCTGTAGACCCCATTTAAAACTTCAAAATTGATATTCTGGATTCTAACGGACCATTGAGCTATCTGACTTATGTGGAGGGAAAATAAAAACAAAATGGGCTGGAAAACTTGTGTTGACAATCATTACCCAATCACAACACAATATCAATCAATAGTGCGTGACGTACAAGGTCAAGTACGAACATGAATGGTATGGGTAAGAAGCCATGCTTCACACGGAACGGACGCAAGGAATTACACACACACACACACACACACACACACACACGAGAATGGGTGTGCGTGACAGCAAGCGACCGCTACAGACCATCACGAATTCTACCTTGCCTGGTTCATGCCAAGGGCATAGTATTTACTTACTCATGGTGGAAGAGTAAATAAATGTTCTGTGGCTCCGCCTTTAACCAAACTACGGCACGTTCTACCCTAGAAAACTCACATAAACACGTGAATTTTCTCCCATTCTGAGAAGGATTAGAAACAAACATATTCACAGTGTGAGCTGTCTCGCACAGAGATGTTTCGATAATAACTAGACCGTTAATCTTATACATATGTGAGTTTTTACACACTTTTCTTCAGAATTGCCATATTCAAGTGTGACGGAGCTTAAAAACTCAGTAGTCATTGCCTCAAGTGAGATCACGTGATATCACGTTAGTGGCGACTGTCTTCGCCTGTAGCGGATATCAAGGGGATGGTACAGCCTAAAAAACCAAATGCAGAAGGTTCACGTGTTGATTGGAGCTCACCATACAACTGAAGCAGGCTAGGTCATGTGATGCTTGGACAGTGTTGGCTTGATGACCACTCAGTTGTTGACCGTAGTGGGCGATCGAAGCGTGTTGTCAGTCCTGGCCTTCATACAAAGTATTGCTTATTCACTACTTACCGTTTAAAGGAAGACAAACTTTAATGTTATCAAATCGAACTCTAAGAAGATTGAAAGTGATTCCCATACTACTCAGAAGGTGGATAAACACTCGGGGCAGCCCGCGACTGGTTTTGCCCTTCCTGGGAAAAACTCATTTGAAAATGAACCCGGTATTAGAGTGTGACTAGGCTACACTTTCTCCAAAGCTCTTTTTTACTGTAGTCTTCTCTTACTTTTGAAACTGTGAAGAAAGGATAGGAGAAAATGGCGCTCCTTTTGGTTATGTAGAACCATTTTGTTACCTTGTCACGCATCTCCAAGACGTTTAACTTCAAGTGACAGCTAAACTATTTTAGTCTATTTTCCCTTCCAAATAGCTCTTGGACGAATACGGTACGGATGGACGAATGACCTTGGAACAGTTTAGGAAATTCTTCGAACTTTAATCGCTCCACTCCGCTTGCGATACCCAGAACACACAGAGCGAACCCGACGGCCAACAGACAGATTTTTTCTTTTTAGCTTTTCAGAGTAACTGACCATCAATGATCTGAACATTGCTCATCTGCGAGTAAACTTGATCTGATGAGTACAGCGGACGTTTAGAAATTGCGCATCCTCTTATTCAGATTCCATCTGAATAGTGTGAAACAGCAAACAAGACAAATAAAGAGTGATTCCTCTCTGAAAATTCTTTCGAATTTGGTGTTTCACGCCAGGCTGCACCTGACGGATGATACGGCCGAGCAATTGGCCGTGAATCGAAGCTGATCGCGATAACAAGACATTCTTTAAGCCATCTGTGATCACCATCCACTCCTGTGTCCAGAGTACTCGAACGTATCGAATACCATCCTCCTGGATGTTCAGCCTTAGGCACATACGGTAGATCTCCATTGAGTGACCCGCAAAATTACCCTATTCCTTCTTGAAACGAGCTTCGACAGGTCGTTCGGGAATAATTTCTTAGATGTGGATTATCCATAGGAGGTGAATGTGCGCAAAGCGACGGACAACAAACTCGTATAACTTGTCACGTGACGTAGTCGGCAAGCCGCTTGTTCGTGAAATGGATGAAGCATAAGCAGGTGAGTGTCAGGCAGCACACGAAACGAAATGAACTTAAGTCATGGAACGTCTACTCGAAATTCGATGGTTTTCTGACTTGGTGTGGTGTCGTCACCGCAGTAAAAGTGGGGTAATCATTTGTATGCTANAATAATTTCTTAGATGTGGATTATCCATAGGAGGTGAATGTGCGTAAAACGACGGACAACAGACTCGTATAACTTGTCACGTGACGTAGTCGGCAAGCCGCTTGTTCGTGAAATGGATGAAGCATAAGCAGGTGAGTGTCAGGCAGCACACGAAACGAAATGAACTTAAGTCATGGAACGTCTACTCGAAATTCGATGGTTTTCTGACTTGGTGTGGTGTCGTCACCGCAGTAAAAGTGTGGTAATCATGTTGTATGCTATTTCTAATTTTTATCGTCTGTTTCATAGTGACAAAGTATGTTTTTTCTAGGATCTGCAGGTGTTCCAGGTATTCACTCATTCACCCACGTGTGAGGTCTTACCTGACAGAGCATAGCAACCTTTGCACTTGTCACTGTGGATTCTGTGGGACAAACAAATTACGTAGATAGCATGTGAACCTTGTTTTTGGGTGTCTTAAGCTGAGTTGTTTAAGTGTTGATCCAACTGGTGAATCAATACCTTTCTGGTTCTCTGTGCGACAAACTTTCAACTTCCTTGATCCTCCAGCAAATACTTTCATCTGCGTAGAAAGTAGGCTCAATTGAATCCAGTCAGATCTCCTGTTTATTATGGTCTGGTGTCGAAGAAGTTTCAGCAACCTCATGAGTAGTATGTTACGCCTAGACAAAAATATCATTTCATATCCAAAACCCCCACAGACTAGTTCAGCCGCCTCAGTCTGATCAGGTGGAGTACCGTGTTGAAACTCATTACAGAAGAGATTTAAATTTGCAGAATCTCTGTTGAGTTCCCTATTTAGAATTCTGAATCAAACTAGCCAGAATATCTCAAGAAAGAACTGGGTTTGGAAGTCTATCGTACTATTTACAGACAAATGGGAAAAAGTCCACTTCAACAGGTGCGTAACTGTCACTGACCGACACAAAGTTGCGTCCAATTCACACACTGGGTTGCGGTGGGCTGAATGGTGACTCAAGTTGTTACCTGCCGTCGTTTTATCCGATTAGGATTGGCAGTGCCTTTACGGGGTTACCTTGGCATGAGAGGTCAGATGGAATACGGATAGACAGGTGGGAGTATCTACACACACACACACACACATTCGAACACCCACGTCGGACGCATTGGTCTGCTTGGTCAGACGACAGGCGGGTGCAAGGTCGGGGATAAACAGGCGGAAATCAATGAACAGAGACGGAATAGCCAAATAGATGGGAGAACTATCAAGTTGTCAAGATAGGCCCAACGTACGACAAGTAGGTGGTTATTACAGCTGACAATGATGATGATGATGATGATGATGATGATGATGATGATGATGATGATGATGATGATGATGATGAT